TGGGCGCTTCCTCCAGCCTCCACTGTGTTGGATGTATTGGACGAAGTCCCTGCCTAGGCTTGTATTGCTTTTGGATATCCAGAATTAAACCTTGCTTTTGCATTCCGGCATGCTCGTCTTTGGTGGTCTCTCTGGGGGTCACGATCTGGGCACAACAATGGCATCTTTAGGGGATCCTGAAAAGAAAAATTTGGGAGTTAATTGTCAAGTCCTGGGAGAGTTAGCTGTATCATTTGTCCAGTCTCTGCATAATGGGAAAGTGCAGGGCTTAGGGCTTGTCTGTGAGGCTGGATCATCTCAGCTAGTGATCTTGAAATTGTTCTGAGCAGTTTGTAGTCCAAAACGGATCTTTGGGTGGTGTTTTTCATCTTAGTGGTATTATCATCGTCCTGATGGAATCATCATTGTGGGGCCCCATCATCTTTTTGGAGACTTCAGAGTTGCTGTTAGGTATGACCATGGTTCACTGCAGGAAATCTTTTTTGTGAGACATTTTTTTTTCTGGACGATTTGGCCGTTTTCTTCAGATGTCTCATTTATCCAGTGGTCTTCAGATTCCTTAGCTGGATGCCTTCATTTTCCTGAAAGACAAAAGCAAAACTCTTCCCCATGGCAGCAGGTGGGTGTGGCAGGAAGCTGATGGGTCACCCATCCACAGGAAGCAGGTAGAGCAGGAAGCGGGTGAGGTTGTGAACCCTCATGCCCAACCCTATGACGTTTTTTTCCTTCTGCAAGTCTTCACCTCCTAAAGTATTGTGGACATTTGAATGAGAATGGTCCTCCCAGGTCCACAGTGGGTGGTCCCCAGTGGGTGGAGTTGGGAGGATTAGGAGGTGTGGCCTAGGTGGAGGAGGTGTGTCCCTGGGGGTGGGCTTTGAGGTTCAAGAGGCCCTGCCATTCCCAGTTAGTTCTGTCTGCCTCAAGCTTGTGGATCAGATGTGAGCTCTCAGCTGCTGCTCCAGTGCCTGCCTGTGTGCCGTCATGCTCCCCACCATGGTGGTCATGGACTCATTCTTTTGAACCGTGAGCCCCAAATTAAATGCTTTCTTTTACAGATTGCCGTGGAAATGGTGTTTTGTCATGGCAATAGAAAAGTCACTAAGACAAAATGCCATAGCCTTCCCAAACTAGGGACCAGGTGTTCAAACGCATACATCTGTGGGGATATTCTCATGTAAACAACCACCACAGACAGTAATGTGGAATTGTAAATAATCAGTGTATGGAAGATATTCTATCTAAACCACCACAGACAGTAATGTGGAATTATAAGTAATCAGCCTATGGGGACATTCTCATCTAAACTACCCCAGATGGTGATGAGGAATTGTGAGATAAAATAAACCTTTTCTCCCTGTGCGTCATCTGGCAGGGTGAGCCCACAGAGCCTGCTTCACAAGAGGAGTAAAGGCAGGACAGTGACTGAGCACAGGGACCTTCCCACGCTCACATGCTCACACGGAAGCTGCCATCCCCGACCCCATCCCCACACAGGGGCTGCCATCCCCGACCCCATCCCCACACAGGGGCTGCCATCCCCGACCCCATCCCCACACAGG